TTACATAACATTAAATGATAATTCATAAGGTACGTGATTTATTTAATTAAACCTATAAAATACAATTATTTAAAATGGTACTTTAATACCACTTTTACTAAATAACATTATTATTCGTGTAGATGTTTAACTAGCGAGAGAATAGAGGACAACCCGAGTCCAGCAGGACACGGCAGCAGAGGGACAACCCGAAATAAATGCTACATTTTTTTCTTTTCGAAATGCGTGCTTTTCTGTCGGGATATTTTACAACTTTTAAAACAATTTCTTTCATTACAAATTTACAGAGAAATTATCCCTTTAAACCTTCTCTTCCAACCTTGTAACTGTTAAGATTAATGTAAACATTGCAACCGAAGAAAAATGAAGAATTCATAAATTTAAATACTTCAAATATTTAATTTTTGTTCTTTAATTGGCCAAATTGCACCATGTATCCACCCTTGTTACTTAAGCAACCTTCTAACTGTTACTGTAGCATTACTGTAAACTGGTGCAATATTTATTATGTCCTTGTTTTACCTCAATTTTTTAAAACTTATTTTTAATCACTTTTAATGGTATCCACAATTTTTTTTTTTTTTCAACTTTTCAATGATACATTTCATCATTTATTTTAAGATCTACTGATTTTTTTATTTTTAACTGAATCAAACCAGGCTATATATATCATATACATACAAACTCTTGCATGCATGCTTGTATCTCATCAATAAGAGAGAGACCCCACTGACATTGAATTTAAGTTGAGGCAATCATTACACACATAAGGCATCATTGCCAATGTAATCTTCAATAATATTGACTCAATCTTCAACAAATACTTTCAAACCATGTTAGGTTTTTAATTTGTTTGAAAAATACGAACGAAATTCTACAACTGATCGAAGCTCCGATCGACCCTCACAGTAGGGGGTGGGGCGACCTTTTTTATTATTATTGTTTATTCATGCGAGGCGAAGTGATTGTAAGAGGCAGTCAAAATCTCTGTCATACTTTTTTCTGACGAGGAGGCTTTTTTCAATTTATAAATTAATCTGGCTCCTTTGCCTAATAAATTAACATTTTGGAATGATCTCCATTTCCCTCCAAAAAATAAAAAATAAAAGAATAGTAAGTTATTTAAAATTATAAATTGGTTGTGTCTAATTGTTTTATATTAATGGTATAATTATTTAGTTGTGATGATTTTCAAATAAATGAATATATATAAAAAGAAATAAATTACCTGCTATTGAACAATAATAGCAAATAGTAAGAGGACCCCGATGATATCCTCATCATTAATTCCTAACAGCATCAAGACAAAAGTTGAACCACAATAATTAACTAATTCTCATTATTGATTGACTTATATATGATAACATCCTTTGAAACGTTTTCTAGTTGCATTTTCTAACATTGCAAATTGAATAAGTTATTTCTCATTAACCTTTTTTCATTATTGTAGTTAAAAATCTAAACTCTTTCGATGAAATTCATTCTTTTCATTGATGATTTGACGCATGAACAATTTTCACATATAAGTTACGACGACAACAATATATTCTTGTATTTTGTTAATTTTATTTGGGATCCGTACTATACATCATATTTTCACATCCACCTATGTAGGAAAGTTATTTGTGTTAACATTCACGTATAAACTTTTGATGTCAGTGAGTGTGATATAATTAGATGAAGAGATCCAGATTGAGGGAAAAAAAAATTAAATTATAATGGTCCAATTGACATAATATAAAATGTGAAAATTACAGATTTTAATAAATTTAAAATTCTCATTTCATAAATCAGATGGCATGTTTAGTATTTCACAAATTAGAACTTTTATTAATTAATTAATATATATATATATATAATAATTAAACATTACTTCTCTCTCTCTCTTTCTCTCTCTAAATTAATGTAAATTACCTCACTTTTCTCTCTCTATTCTCACCTCTCAACCATGGCCTCAATAATCGGGGGAAAAAAATGAGACCGTCGGCATCGGATTGAAGCCAATAGAAGAAGCATTGCCATCATCCATCTCCAATCCAACGATGTCGACTCCTCCCTCTCATCTCCTTTCCTTATCTGCATCAGACCCCTTTGCGAATCTATGATGGCGATTTTGTGGTAGCGACTGTGGTGATGGATCTAGCAGTTTGGGTGGGTGTGAATTTGCGATGGTGGCGATGCTGTGGTTGCAGAGGTGGTGAATGGGGGTGGCAGTTGTTGGCGATGGTGGTGGATCTAATGGTGATGGTGGATCTGGCAATAGAAATGAGTTTTGTTGGCGATGGTCCCTACAAGGATTTGTGATGGTTGCGGTGCTATGGTGGAAGATGAGCCTCACACAATGAATGGGGGTTGCGGCTATTGGCCATGGTGGTGGAGTTGAGTTTTGTGTAGTGATTGTTGGCGTGGTGGTTGATTCTGGCAGTGAATGTGAGTTTTGCAGGATTGAAGGTGGACAATGGCGTTGTTGGATCTGGAGATTGTGGTGATTTTGTTGATATAGATAGTAGTGGTTGTGATGTCGACGCTGGTGGTGGTGAGCGATGTCACTGGTGGTGGTTGGCGATAGTTCGGTGCTCACTGGTAGTGGGATAGGGTGTTAGTGTTTGTGATTATTTTATTGGTTGATTGAAAGTTGTGACCAATAAATTAATTAATTTATGATCAATATGATGGTGTTTTTGGCGATGATGGTGGTGGTAGTGCTGTTGGAGGTAGCGTTGAAGTGATGGTCGTAAGTGTTGGTGGTGGTCACATATTATTTGGTTGATTGTGACCAGTGAATTGGTTAATCAATGATTAATAAACAATATGTGACCAATGAAAAATAAATAAATTATGACCAGAAAATAAAGCGTGATCGAAAAAATTAATAATTTGTGACTGTCTAATAAGTTGTGACATATAATATTTGTGATCTGTGACCTATAAATTATTCGTGGTCGAAAATAATATGTGACTTATAAATTTTTTGATTTGTGATCCAAAAATAGGTTATGACCAATAATTTGATAAGTTGTGACTAATTATTCTTTGATTTATGACCGATGAACAAACTGTAACTTACCAAATTTTTGAATTGTGATCGTAAAATAATTTTTGACGTAAAATTCTTGATTTATAACAAAAAATGATAAGTGACTAATTAAATTGTTAATTTGTGATCAAAATGAATAGATATGTGATCTAAATATATTTAATTAGTAAATTAATTAATTAATTAATTAAATCATAAATAAATTTGAATAAAAAATCTGATTTTTGAAGTTTGAAACTTGTTTTCTTAATTTTGAAATATGCCATACTTAATCTCATACTTATGAAATTTTCCCATATAAAATATAGTGATCCATTTAAAATTATTTTCACGATTTATAATTACTGTCGGTGAATTTAACTCAATAAAATTTATCTCTATAGTCAGAGTTTCCCGCATTTATGTTTTAGAAAAAATTGCACTGTTGGTCTTATCTTTAAAATTGAACAAATTGGTCCTCAATCTTTAATTATAGTTGCACAATGAAAACCATCTATATCACAGGATCCTCTTGACTTCAAATTTTTGAGCGCCAACCGTTGCCGAGAGATAAAACTTGGACAATAAATGGCACTTTATCGTATAGAGATTTGGATGACTTTCAGTATTGAAAAGTGATTGTACTACTATAATAAAAATTGCAAAACAAATATGCACATTCTTAAAAATTAAGAAACAAAATAATAAGTAGATGATTTATCCATGGATTTTTTTGCTGATAATTTACTTAAAAAAAAGTAATCAGAATAATTTAAACAAAAATTAGAGAAAGTACTGCGTTCTTCATGGTGATTGTATGAGAACACAAGAATTATAAATAACAAACATATTGCAAGTTTTACTAATGTAGTTTGGTGGCTAAGGAAAATTCAAACACCCTAATTAGATGACTCCACAAATTTTCACTTCCCATCACCACTCTAGGGACGGAACTAGAAAATGATGTTAAAATGGACTGAAATTTACAAATTTCGAATGAACTCGCATCACAAGAAGCTAAACTCGTGTCATTCACGACAAAGAATATACGACACTTAATGAAATAAAAAAAGTCTAAATATCTCACTCTAAGATGTCTCACTAGATCTTTTTTATCTTTCTTATCAAAATGAAAATCGATCTCACCTAAAAAATATAAACTAACTGAATTATGATCGAAATAATCAAAGAATACATATCCACCAATGAAAAATTAAGAAATTATTTAATGAATATTGTTCTAAATAACTTTGACGATCAATCTTTTCAAACAATTGAAAGCTTTGGTCTAAACACGCGGTCAATAATACATCATTATATGTTACTGTCTCAAAATACTATTTTGGTGTAGACAGAATGTTCTATTTCATTTCATTTTATAGTGAGTGAATAATCATATCACAAGTGAGAAAAATCAACTAAAAGGGTTCAAAGAAATTAGATTTAATTCTTGTCCATGTTTGGCTCAATTCCAAGAATATACTTATATATAAATTAATATGTAAATAAATAAATTTAAAAAAATATTCATTTTACTGACAAGATCAAATTTAGAGAAAGTTATTTATTTTGATCATATCATCTATTTCATGGTCAAAATAAGTAATTTTTTCTTCAAGTATGAATAAGTAATATATATAAAAACATACGTGGAAAAAAAATTTAATTACTTTTAAACATAGCAAAGCATGTAATGGAGATTAAAATCAATTTTTTAATAAATTTTCATAAAAGTTGATGAAATATGTGATTGAAAAATTGTGGGTTCCATAAAATATGCGGTTAAAATTAATTGTTGATTTTGACTTAAAATTCAAATTCAAATTTTAATCTCTACCAAATAAGGGCGTAGAGTTTCTAATTATTAAAATAATAAAATTTTAGATATGATCAATACAAATTATCTATTATAAAATTTACGTAATTATTATAAATAAATTTAGTCGAATATGCATTATATAAAATGCCTAATTTAAAAATAAGATAATGTGAAAAATAGTATTTAATAGTTGTGGAGCTAGGCTTGAGTTGGAATTCAAATTAGAGCTGCGCTTACAAAAATATTTAGGTCAAAATTACACGATTTATTCTTAATTTTCCATATGGGTTGGAGCCAATAGCCCATCCCAGCCCCCACTACCTACGCCCCGATTCACCAGCAGCCTTGGATAGCTGAAACTGACTGAATAGAAAGCTGCTTGCATCATAACTATTGTTCCCATCAAATGCCCCGAAAATCTGCTGCTAATTGCTGGAGAAGAATCGATGTTGGAAGTGGTGATCCCAGGAGGCGACAGGCTCCCAATTAGGTTGATCTCGGATGGTGATGGTGGTGCGTGGAGGCCTCTATGAGGCCGTCGTGGCCAAGGTTCTTATATTTGGAGAGCTCGGATTTGGCATATCTTAGGTCCGTTTGGAGTTGGCGGAGTTGGTGTTGGAGGACGGAAATGACTCCGACACAACCGTATACCTATTGAAGATGTAAATCAAGTAAATACAATTTAAACTTTTAATATAAATACAATTTAAACTTTTAGATGAAATTGTTAATTAGCCATTGCATCACAGAAAACCTCCCTCTAAGTCTCTCCATGTGTCGGATTTTGTCTCTTCTCTTATAGTTAAAATTTTAGATGACATGATTGATCACGGTATCAACGAAATAAAAGTTTCTAGTTTTGTTGCCATATATTTTATATGAATTGTACAAGCAAAGTTAGCAACATAAATTAAATAAATAAATTTACAGCCTGATTGAGAGTGATTTTTTTGTTCAAAAAATTAATTTTTTGATCGTTATTTCACTATTCCAGTCGTCATATTTGACTTTTTCTCTTACAGGTGGATCCCACTTTTCCCCTAACGGTCAAAAAATCAATTCTCACAATCACTCCCAAACAGGCTCTTATTATGTAGCTGCTACTCGGTAATACCTCAATTATGCCTTTAGATACGTGGTTCTTCAAAGATCCTTACTTTAAACTTCTAGTTACTTATTTAAGAAAATTTTACCCCGAAAGAAATAAATCTGAACTAAATAATAGAGTTCGTTTGAGCCACATTATTTGTAAAATAAGAATGAAAAATAGAGTGGTTATGGTCCCCACACAAGATATAGAAATTCAAAAATGGTGGCTTAATGTGATGGATAATTGTCATATTTTTTATTTTAACGAGGTAAAAATGGGGCTCAAACGGGGCCATAATAAATTTCTTTTCAAAGGTTTAAACTTTTAATGAAGGGATTTGGCCATACCGGATCCCTGAGGCGCATTTCTGCTTCATAAGCTAGGGAATTGACAGCATCCTCGCGCTGGTGAGGCTGCAATTCTTTGAGAAGTTTTGTCACATTACTTGCACCAAATACTTTATGCACATTTGCAAACTTCTGTGGCTGATCCGGTGGAAAGTACGGCGCAAATACGCACTCCGGTTGGCACTTTCTGCGCAAGGATTTGCATGCTGCACATGGAGAGTTGGACGAAGAGGACGCCATTAATGCTGCCACAGTTTTCTTCTTTTTAGTGGTTTAATTCTTATGCTTATGACCCTAAAACGTCCAAGAAAGATGAAGCAAATTAGCCAAAATAATAATAGTAACAATAATAACAACAACAACAACAATAATAAAATTGTACTGATGGATAAAGAAATGAACATTATTCAAGAAACTGTGGGCTTCAAGAAATCGGGATCTGCACATGCGAATCTGTAATTTTTCTTGGAATTACAAGAAAAGAACCTAAGAAGAAAGGGAAAAAAAGAAGATCTATTACCAGACAATCTTCTTTTCTCTTCTTGCACATTTATTTTCAAGTGTCAATATATAAAAAGAGCCAATTATATAATTGACAGCCTTAAAGAAAAATCTGTAAGTTAATTGAAATTGAGTCAAAAATTGCCAAAATAATCTGACTAAATCTGGAAAATGGTTCTTAGATCAAATACCTAACTTTGAAAAATCACTTTTGTAAAAAATAGAACAAAAATAATAATCCTTTTGCTAATTAACATGTTCACCAAAATAGATAAGACTTCAGTTTTTTGCTTATCATACTGTCATCGTCGCTTACCAAACATACTTGAAAGGCATATAATCAGATTTTTAAAAATCGAAGCGCTCACAGTAATATAGCAAGAAATCAATGTTCATCTCCGCTGACTAGTCCCCAACCCTAAACAGTCTTTCTTGCCATTAGATGTGTGTACATAATATTAGGTTTTTCTCCCAAAAATGAAAGAGAAGATTTTCGAGGCTTTGGATCTCGTAAAAGTGATTCTTTTTCTTTCTTACTATATTTGCCACTTCTATCAATATTGATGTGTGTCGAGCGAGAGAGAGAGAGAGATTTCACTTCATTTACCAGTCAAGTTGATACTCTAGACTTTGGAGGGCCGGATGTTCGTCCAACGGCGGGCGCAAAAATTCTAGAATCAGAAATGCATATGTAGGGAGAGACAGAATAAAAAACCTGAAATTCTCTTTTGTTGTTGAAGATTTGCGTCCCTCATTTTCTTCAGTCAAATGTATTTTTGCTGAGTTTGGACCTTGCAAAAGCAAAGACTTCTCAGTTTTCAGACACAAAGAATAATTGTATTATACCTCCATTTTGTCTGTCTAACGAAATGACACTCTTAATTGTGAGAAGAGTACAAGAATATATGCTAAAATGGTGAAAAGAAGGCACTGCGAATTAACAGCAACACTCTTTTCTCATGAAGATGATCTACACGCGCGCGCGCTCGCTCACAGAGAGAGAGGAAGAGAGAGACTGTGTGTGAATGTGTAAATATGGAGATGGAAAACCCCCCGACCCAAGAGCAGAGGCTATGGAGACGCTGAGGAAGCATATATACAGAGACTGTGTGTGTATTAGCTGAATGAATAATCATGAAGTTCAGGGGTGGGGCTGGGCTGTGGGGTCGTGACTTGACTATTCTCTCATCTTCTAATGTAATAGTTAATGTTAATGCAGAGGATGTTGCCATTTATTTATTTTGTTCTTGTCCTGCCTTTCCACAGTGCCATAATCTCAGTTTGGCCTAATCATGTAGAAGCATGCTTCTTCAAACGGAATACGTCTTTGTTGCTGTTTGAGAATGACTTAATAGCGCCTTTATAAAGTATTTTTGAAAAGAGTTCCAAATCAAGTGGGGTTTGGGGTGAATTCTCTAACATGATTCTCATGCACGATTAATTGAATGTTGATAATAAAATTGCGACGAAATAAATGTTGGGATACAGGTGCAACAATGAAAAAAGATTATTTGAGTGCGTTAATGTACAATTAAAATGCAAGTTTGGTGGGGATTAAACTAATTAGATTATTAGTATATTTCGATAAAAAATGATATAATATATTATTAAAAAGTTGTGGATATCATAAATTAAATATGTGATTAAAATTGATTATTAAATTTTACTAAGATTAAAACCACCACCAAATAGGGGATAGTATGAATATAGTTAGGGTGGTTATATTCACACAGGTTTTTATTTTTTATTTTTTAAATAAACCTCATTTTAGTTACATTAAGGGCCTGTTTCATGGAGATTAAACTTATATGGTTAGTAGATTTTGATAAAAATTGATAAAATGCATGGTTGAAAAGTTGTGGGACCTATGAAATGCGTGATTAAAATTAATTGTTGATTTTAATTTAATAAAAATTTAAATTTAAATTTCTATCAAACAAGGGCTAAAAATTAGGCCATCCTATCCAACTTTCAGATATTAAGATACCTTTCAAGCGTGGATGACCTTTATTCATTATTACGCATATATTCTTAATTTTTCTTCATTGATCAGAAAATCTCGTCTTTAATCGATGTTTTCCACTCAAAAATATTATTAATGTGCTTTAAAAAGAGAGTCCAATTCTTTTTATCACATTTTTACATTATTATTTGTTTTGCTTATTCAAAAATATAATGGGGCAAATGAGTCTTTTTACTCTATTTTAAATAAAATTTTGGAGATAAATCATAATCCACAACAATTTATCTTAATTTTAGAATAAGTATGCGACAAAATAAAGTTTGAAACATAAATGTGATAATAAGTAAAGGTTATGAATTTTTTATGCAATTAAAATGTAATCTAATTATTAAAAACTACGGTTTGAATATGTTTTGCTATTTAGTTATCCGTTCTATCACATTGGCTCCATAATTAAGGTTTTATTTGTCTATCCTTCCACCACATTATTTTTTCTATAGTACTCATTTTCAACCACACATTTTTTATTAAAATAATATTATACGTAAATCAAAAATTTTTCTTTCTTTTTCAACCACACATTTCAACATCAATCACAATTTCATAATACATTATTCACAAAAATGGGGCACAAACACCACCTAAGCCCTTGTTTGAGCTATATTATTTCGATAAGAATGCATTTTTTAATAGTATATTGATGAAAAATGTGTGGTTAAAAAATAAAAAAAAAGTTTTAAATTTGCGTATAGTATTATTTTGAGGGTATTTGAGCCCAATTTTTATGTAAAAATGTATTTTAGAATAGTAAATTGATTGAGAATGTGTGGTTAAAAAATAAATAAAAGTTTTTGATTTACATATAATATTATTTTCATAAAGAATGTGTGGTTAAAAAAAAGGGAGAGAAAAGTGTATTTTGAAAAAAAAAGGGTTCTTTATTGAAGAATGTGTGGTTGAAATGATATCAAATTATCCTTTAAAAATGTATTTTTCTGAAAGAATGTGAATCAAACACGGTCTAAGTATTTGACTATCTAGATGTGTGTTGGATGGATGGTGGGTTCTACTGGTTATGGTTATTGGTTGCTATTTGGTTGTGCTTTCTAACTTCTCGACTATGTTTGGCTTGTTGTTTTGCAGTTTAGAGCTCAGAGATGTTGTCATTTCGTACTAGGTCAATTGAGGTGTGTTTAATTTATTCAGGGTGTGCTTGATTGAATTATTTTTATGAAAAATGACATTTTCCATTCGAATTTCAACTTTTGAAGTGTTTGATTGTCTTTTTTTAATGAAAAATATTTCTCGACATTTGAAAATATGCTTGGTTTTCCTTATTATTCTGGAAAAGATTTTATTTGGGAAACTTTAGGTTTCTGTTTTCCTCAAAATAAGGAAAATTTTTCTTTTTTTAAGAAACATGTTTCATGTTAATCATACCCACATGTAGGGTTTATTCATAGGCTTGGTGTTTGAGTTGCAATAACAAGTTAAAGAATGTGGCTATTGTGTCTAATAAGTGCATTTTTACACGCTAATTTAATATCTAAAAAAGCTTGAATATTGATTAAACGAGCGAAATTCTGCTCACAATCATGTAATTATTGTTTTTGTAGGTAAAAATCACCCGACGAAATAAAACAAGGCAAAAAGAAGGAGAAAATAATCAAAATTGTGCAAAAATATGAGTTTGGGGACCAAAATGAAAAAAGTTTAGTTAAGTTGGAAGACTTTAAGTGCAAATTATTAAGAGAATGATTGAAATGAAAGTCAAATTTTGATGAACATATTGTACAAGATCAAAGTTCAGGGACCATGCATGCAAATAGTGGAGGACTAAGCCATACGAAATGAAAGGAGAGAAGACTTGCGAGCACTTAAAAACTAACCCGAGAGGAAAGCATAATGCTCGCGCGCCACTTCCCTGCTATGGTTGTTTTTGTTTTTTACCAAAATTTTGGAGCTTTTTGAACAATTTTTGAGACACGTTTTTAGGCTTTTATAAGTCATATTCAGTTAATTTTTGGGGAGACTTTTCTCTCTTCAAGCTGCTTTTTCTCTTTCATTTTTTTTTTTTTTTTGCTTTTCTTTCTTTTTCTCTCTTTTTTCCTTTAATTTTTTTGGGTATTTTTGTGGGAAATTAGAGCACAATAGAGGAGATTCAATCAATTGGTTGGAGAAGTTTTGGGGAAAATTAAGAACAAGGGTTTTATCGCCTTCAAAAATTAACTATGAGGGGAGTTTTATCTCTTCTCTGGTGTTTAGCCCACTTTTTCTCCAAAATGCTATGAATACTCTCCTTTGTTATCATATATATAAAATGGGCTAATTTCTTGTGTTGAAATTTATGGTAGCAGCTTAACCTAACTTTGATTAATTTCAATATTTGCTTTTTAATGTTTAAATACTTATTTTCATAGGTTTCTACTATTGTATTTCTTGCATTTTCATTTATGTGCCAAATGAATAATTATGTTTAGTGATTTGTATATTCTTCGAGAGAAAATTGTGCATTTTAAACTAAATAATAGAAATCCTATGTGTGTGGGGAATGGAGATATATTCTTAACCCTAGGAGATTCATTGAGCTATTTTGCACAAAAAATTAATGTGGTCGTTTGGTTTGAATTGTCATAAAGATATAGTAGGTTAAATCAATTAATTAGGGTTAATTTTGCTCAAGGGAGGTAATTAACTAAAATTGAAAAATCGAGTCTGACATCATAAATAAGTAATTTATTATTTGGCTTGTGGAGAAATTAATTAAGCGACGGTTAAGTGAAGCCATGAATCACAACCATGTTTTTCTCAAAAATTCCCAAGTGTTTATGTTTTTCCTTATTTTGTAGATTTTTAGTAAATTTTTTTTTCCAAAATCAAATTTTATTGTGTGTTTGTTTTTATTGTTAAAATTAAATTAATTAAAATTGTGTAATTAAAAGTAAAAATTCTTTGAGAGATCGGCAATTCGAACTCAAAAAAGTATTCTTTATTACTTGAACGTGATCCGTGCACTTGCGGCATATATTTTAACGAATAGTGTTGATGAAGATAATGAAAGATTAATTGAAGAAGCTATTGTTTTAGGGCTTTGCTACCTGTTCAAAAAAATATACAGGTAGCTTGAGGAGTGCATCTATCTATTCATCTAAAATTTTGAAATTTAGATGAATACACAGATGTATGCATCTGTAATTCTATCTGTACAGCTTTTCTGTAAGGATAGAATAATCCATTGCTTTAAATATGATGCAATTTGTTCATTTGAGGTTGGTAACCATGAAAAGGATAGAATAATCTAATATGATGAATACACAGATGTATGCATCTGTTTTGTAAGGAAAGAATAATCCATTGTTTTAATATGATGCAATTTGTTCTTGAAATTTGAGGTTGGTAACCATAAAAAGAGGCAATAAAAATACACAAAAAAGAAGAAAAACATGGTGCCAAGTTTAAATAACTCGTTGAACTTGGTGAGTTACTTGATAACTTGTGTGTGAAAACAATAACAAGCTATCGTTTAAGCTCCATTTTTTGGATTTGAATTTTATTTATTTATTTTTTTGTAAAAAGTATTTTTTTGAAAAATGTGTTGTTAAAAAATAAGAAAAATTTTAAATTTATGTACAAATTTATTTTATTGAAGAGAAAAATATATTTTAGAGAATTCAATTTTAGTTTAAATTATAATAATTTAATTCGATCAACTATTACAATTGTCGGTTTCGTCGAGTATGCAAAAAGTTGTACAATTTAACTAAAAAAGTAGTCATTAAATTATAGATTTTTTTGTTTCAAAAAAGAAGTTAGAACATCTTAAAAAATTATCTATTTTTAAAGAGTATATTCTATAATTTAGAGAACATTTATAAATTTAGAGAAAAACAGTTGAAGTAGTCCAACGCGCTCATTATATTTAACACTTGATTTTACTATTGTAAAAAAATATTTATCATTTTTTTCTATATTTTATTTTAACAACCTTTTCTCAAGATTATTTTATTATTTTTTTTATATTGAAAATTGAAATAGTTTGAATGTATTTAATTATAGAGAGTGAATTGATTCTCCAAACTTGCTCTCCAAACCCACTTTTTAAATTAAAATGT